TTTAAATAGTTTTTATTTAACATATATCTAGTTTTATACATAATTCCAATACTATTTGAAATTTTATTTTCTATTAGATTAAAATGCTTTTTCCAATACATTTGCTCATCATTTAGAATATCCAAGAGTTTAAAACAGAATGTCCATTACAACTTGTTTTTTTTTTATTGAAATATCCAAAAGTTTTAAAGGCATCAAATATAGAAGATTTAGAAAAGAGAGTATATTTGCTTTTGATAGGGTTCAGAGAGAGAGTTTGTTTACTTAAAACATTTAATTGGGGCCATCAAGTTCACAATTTATAGTAGTAAAGATTGTCCGAATGTTAAAGTGTGTATAAACTTGAGTGTCATCTGCAAAAAGACTGAAGTTCAGTATTTCAGATGATAAGTTAAAATTGTTGATATATACTCTTTATATATTCTCTTTCTTGTTTCCATATTAACAACTTACGAAAATTTTGAAGTAATTTAACTTCAATTTTAGTAGCCTATAAAACAAACTTATTTAGTTTGTTATTAATTTTATCATATAAAAACAATCAAGTTTAACTTATCTATAATAATGTGTTATAACATTCTAATAATTTGTTGTAAACGAGTTTTCATTTCAACTTCATTCATTGTTTTAAATTTATTTTAGTAAAGATTTTTTATTTTGCGGTCATTATTATTTAAAAAAACTTTGTCTGAGCAATAAAATTTTATTGAATCCTTAAAGAAGCGATTTGAAGAAGCAGTTTACAAAAAAAAAGCTTCAAAACGTCCTTTACACCCTGAAACAGCAGCTCTTCATGTACCATATGACTAAATGTCAAAACCAATATATATATATATATATATATATATATATATATATATATATATATATATATATATATATATATATATATATATATATATATATATATGTATATATATATATATATATATATATATATATATATATATATATATATATATATATATATTGCAGCTATTCATAATGCCTATAATATTCTGAATATAAATGTAATAAACAAAAATATAAAAGAAGAAATACAAAATCTACCTCTGAATTAAGTCCTTAACAATTGGTTTGATAACTTTCCACCAACACGTTAGAGTTTACCTAAAAAACAATATGTATAAACATAAGGCACATTGAAATGTTTTAAATATAAGATCTTATCCACATGTGTATTTTCTTATTAACTACATTCTTCAAAGTCAAGTTTAGAAAACCCAAGCTTATCTAATAAACAATTATAGTAAAATATGTAGTTCTGATTAAATCGCCGCAAAATCATAAATATAAAAATATTTTTATTCGCTAAATTTTGTAACGAAAGTAAAAGATTTAAATAATTCAATTACCAATTTGTTTTGCTGTAACCAGTCTAAATCGTTTGAAAATTTTTATAGACTGAAAAAAAAAGGCTGGTATAAGTAACAGCAAATAAAGTACAGTCACATTAATAAAATAGCTGTAAATGTTTTGCTGTTAAAAAAGATGAAGAAAAAAATTTATTAAATTTATTCAAGTTTTCATTCTATAATTGAGTTAAAGATATTATAATAAAATTTACAAACTTTTGTCACCCTTTCTTAGTGTAAACTCATTCAAATTTTCTTTTGCTCAACAGTTGAGTTAAAATTTTTATGAATAAATAATGTGATGATGTATGCTTGAGTCTCCCTGTTTTTATTCAAAACACCTTTATAACTTTGTACTATTACTCTGTACATAAAAAATTAAAGAAAATATAAATAGCATTCAACAAAAATGTACATTAATACTGCATGTATTTTATTAAACTATGAGAACAATTTTTTTTTACGAGCAGCGCTCTTGTTCGTCAAGATTCGTGTTTTCTAGTTAGAGCGTTAAGAGTATAAGTAAATGATAGCAGTACAATGATATATATATATATATATATATATATATATATATATATATATATATATATATATATATATATATATATATATATATATATATATATATATATATATATATATATATATATATATATATATATTAGGGTGGGTCGAGTCTTTTTATCTTTCCTGTACATGAACAAAAAGTTGTTTTGGCATCAGTACAGTATGAAAATAATATTTAAAGATTTTTTATGAAACGTTTATGGGTCCCAACTTTGATTAAAGTCTTACCTTATTTGATGTATTTTAACCATTTCCTTGGTACAATCTAAATACGTACCAACTATAAATCATTAACTAAAATGCATTGGCAAATGGTTTAGCACCTAACTACAAGTGTTAAAAAAGAAATGGAATAAATTTTATAACGTTATTTATTTTATTTTTATTTTTTTTTATTTTTTTATTTTAAGTTTATTATTTGTTCCTTAATATAACAAATTCGTAACCACATAAAAAAGATTCGTTAACAGTGAATATATAAATAAAAACAAAGTATTACAAAGTGGTTTTACAAAAATAATAAATTCACTTTAACACTGTAAAAAGAACGCGGAAAACTTGCAGAAGACCAAATGGTCTTATCATCAAGAACCGCTTTACATTGCCGTAAATAAAAAAACATATTCATAAAATTTTTACATAAAATTATTAAATTATAATGGTATTAAAATGTCAGATAACAAGTATACAAATATATTTTTACAAAAACCTTTTTTTTTTTTTTTTTTTTTTGAAATAATATTTACACATTTATTACTAATGCAATGTTGAAAATATATTTATATTAAATAAATTGAAAATATTTATAAATAAATTTAAAAAAAATCACTAAATTTTTATACTTTAAAATACTCTTTCTGATAGTTTTTTTAAAGCAATTTAAGTTTTTTAAATCAATATTATTTAAATTGATTAGTAAAAACTTATTCCAGATATGAGGTGCACGATAAGTCATTTTGAATTGTTCAAGTTTATTTTTGTATGAAGGCTCTAACAGGGTACTATTTGTACGCAATAAATATTTGTACTCTGGTTTTTGTTTATAAAGACTATAGAAAATTGAAGGACTTTTTTGCATTTTGCTATTATACATAAGACTTAGAACATTATATACATTTAGTTCAAACAATGTTAATAAAGACATTTGTTTAAAAAGAGGTTTTGAGTGTTCTGTTTTATTTTTAAAATCAATCACATGTATAGCATGCTTCTGTTTACGATAAAGTGGTTCTAGTTTAGTTTTACAGGTACTACCCCAAGCTATATTTCCGTAGTTTAGGTAACTTTGAACAAAACTATAATAGATTTGTTTGAGTAGTGGTTTTTTTAATAAATAACGTGACTGGTATATTATTCCAATGCTTTTGGATATTTTACTACCTATATAAGCGATATGTTTATTCAATTTAAATTTTCGTCAATAAAAACACCCAAAAATTTCGTAACAGTATCTCTACCTATTTCTCTATTTTCAATAAACAATTTCGGAAAAAAAGATTGAACTTCTTTTTTTTTAAAAGAAGGATGAAATAAAGAAAACTTTGTTTTACTTGAGTTAATAGAGAGTTTGTTTGCCCTAAACCACTCTGAAATCTTTTCTAATTCATTGTTCATTTCTACGCATAGCTCGCTATTATATTTTCCAGAGATAAAAAAAGTTGCTATCGTCAGCAAACATTATAGTTGAAATTCATTTTGAAGCCATACAGAGGTCGTTTACATAGATTAAGAAAAGCAAGGCCCAAGTATTGAACCTTGAGGTACACCACACTATATTATAGACGGATTAGAGAGTTTATTGTCTCCTTAATATACATAATTACAAATACGTAATATACGTAAATTACATGTGACGTCACCAACATAGCAACAAACCATGTGCTGGATTTTTTAGAACCAAGCAAAATATCTAATATATTATTTTGTAATTTTATTTTCTTCTTTGAAATAATAGATCTATAGTAAAATTTAAGTAGGCTAATATAGATATATACTTCAGTAGGCTATAGTTTAGACTGTAGAAAGATCACCTCATTTAACATGTAGGCCTATTTATGAGAGGGCTAAACATATTATAGTCTGTGTAAATATTGGAATATTTATTGACTAAATTCTTATGAAAAATTGTTTTCAAAAACAGCTTTTATTTATTGTAAACATAACTTGTTGTAGTTTTTTTTATTATTTTAGACAAGTTATATTAAATATGGAAAGTATATGTACACGAAGTGCAACTAAACATCCATTGTTTGGGCAGTTAGTTGATTTTTCTGAAAATCAAATCCCATCATAAGAAGATGTTATTAAGGCGTTCTATTATAATCAGAAAACAGTATTTGAAATTAGCTTGCAAGAAAGATATTCAATTTTAGCAGACAGAGTGAAATGTGTTTATTCAAAAGCAAGTATTCCCACAAAAGAAGTGAATAGCACAATCATTAGGATTAGAAGACTTATTGATAAAGTACATACACTTGAAAAATGTTTTGATGCAAAAAGAACATCAGACACGTTCACTGAAAAGTTGAATTCTATTAAGCAGTTATTTGACATTTGTACCTGCAAACGCTTTGATTTGGGCATTAGAGATAGGAACTTATGCACGTGCCCACTGCCAAGTAAAATTCCATTGATAGAGTGGGATTTCTGGGTTAACCAGAAAACTGTTAGAAATATGATAATAGGTGGAGTAGACGAAGAAACGACAGCAACACTGGAAAAGAGACAAAAACGCAAATTTATGAAATCAGTGTGTGATGAAGCACAGTCAAAAGAGGGTGAATATGAAACTGAGGAAGATATTGATGAGGATGAGGGTAACACGTCTGGAAGTAATTATACATCAGAGGAAGAGACAGTATCAGTGCAGAACAGAAACAAGTACAAGGAATTATGTAAAGCAGTTGATGGAAGCAAAATTAGCAACAGAGATACATGTCTTATTGTTAATGCTGTTTTAAAAGACCTCAGTACGTTGTCTTCAGCAACAATTCTTGATCCTTCAAAGCTACGTTAACAAAGGAATTTTTGGAGAGAAACTCTGGTTGAAGAACATATTACAGAGCAATTAGGAATTGTGGTGTATAGGCTTTGATGGAAAGCAAGACGTTACATTAGTTGAGAGTTTTGGTTGTAGAAAAAGTAAAAAAAAAAAACACTATAGTATTGTCTCGTATCCAGGAAACATATACATCGATCATGTAGTTCCTGAAAGTAGTAAAGCTGCTAAAAAAACAAAGGAGTTAATGTCAGTTATTATAGAGACAGACTCCGTAGAAAACATTAAAGGTGTTGTGTGTGATGGCACAAATAATAATACAGATAAAGGCAACGGAATCATAAGAAAATTAGAGGAGAAGTTAGGTAGACTAATACAGTGGTTGGTATGCCTTCTACACTGTAACGAGCTGCCATTTAGAAGGTTTTTTGCAGGCGTGGATTTTTCTCAAACTACAGGACCTTCCACATTGACAGGTACAATTAGCTCGCAATGTTAAACAACAACAACTTTGTATTGTTGTTGTTTAACATTGATTCGTTACAGTTTATATTCTTTTTAATTTGAAATACATTGCAATACATTACACTAACATTGGGTATTTATGTAGTCTTTCTAGTCAGAGTTGGGACCTGTAGACACTGTCCATAAAATAGAAAGTGAGGTTTTTTTAAACGAGTACATCAAAACGCAAGTTTTTAGACATGTACAGGATTTCCAACTTAATATTTTTTACATTTCGACCCACCCTAATATATATATACATATATATATATATATATATATATATATATATATATATATATATATATATATATATATATATATATATATATATATATATATATATATATATATATATATATATATATATATATATATATATATATATATATATATATATATATATATATATATATATATATATATAATAATATATATATATATATATATATATATATATATATATATTTATATATATATATATATATATATATATATATATATATATATATATATATATATATATATATATATATATATATCATCATATTCGTATCACTTATTACATTAAAAAACTCATATCACATATCAATATCTTATCCCATAAAATATAATACATCAAAATCAATATTATAAAAAAACTATATATCACATACCAAAAAATATATTATGCATAAACTATATCATATAAAAAAATTAATATGACATACAAAAAATATACTAATATGTGTTGTTGAATTGTATTTTATTAAAGTATTTTCATCTTTCAGAGTTATAAAATTAAAAGGGGGTGATATCTAAAATTAAAAAAGGAGTCTTTTTTATTGTTAATGCCTTCATGGGTTTTAGAATATGAATTAAATTAGAAAAATTCAAAATCTAAAAAAAGTTACTTTTAATCATAATTTGATTAAGGTCAAATTTGGCCCTTTGATTAAAGCCTAAAATTAAGGGAAATTTATGATTACGAATAATTTTAAAAATTATATAATGACCGAGTATAAACTTGATTCAAATCTTTTTTATGTTTTTTATTACTAAATTGGTGAATAATTTAGGAGTGCTGTTGTTGTTTCCGTAGGATATGTTTTACTATTCCTAAATTTAATTTTAATTTTAGGTTTCAGAGAAAACACTTTGTACTGCCAATTACTGAAAACAACGTATTGAAAATAATAACTAATAACAAACTTATAAGTCAAAAATTGAAAAAACAAAATGAACACTTAATTATGCAGTAGTAGTATAGTGGCAAACGCTTTCGTCATAAATGAGAAATTTGGAGATTGATCCCTATTATGTCCGAAGAAATAATGCGGAGGTGAATAACAATAAAAAAAAAAATAAAAAAAAATAGCCTAACACAAAACACAAAAAATATTTTTTTTACCAGTTTTTGTTACCGAAGAGTCAATATCCGTTACAATACTTTCGGAATAGCATGTTCTAAGGTTTTAATTAATAAATTTAATTTTAAGAATAAAAAATTTATACAAATCAACTTATGGTTTAATCTGCTCACTTACTTATCGCAGCTCTTTTCTTTGGCTGTCTCAAAACTTTACATTTGAATCAACCTAAAGAAAGAGTTTTAGAGGACACCTTTTCTTGTTCAAGCCACTTTAAATGACATCATTTTGATATAAAAGCAATCTGTTTTAAGGTACCGGAGATAGATATAGTAGCAATCTGTTTTAGGGTACCAGAGAAAAATGAAATTTATTTTTCAGAATTAAACAAATTTAAGTTAATATCTAGTCTAGAATAGGGTTCCACAAGAAACTAAAAATAAGAAAAGCTTTCCACTCAAAAATATAAAAAGTTATTAAAGCAGATGAACTAAATATCATATTAAATAAATTCTATATTTTTATTGACATTTAATTAAATTTTAAACAGTTTAAAAATGGTTATTTAAAATACCCATCATTGCATTTTTTATTTGTAAAAAAATATTATGTGAACTACTATATAAGTTAGAAATTTTACAATAAAAAAAATGTTGAATATACAAAGTATACAAAAACCTAAAAAATTTCAACAACTTTTAAAAATCAAATAAAGTTTTAGCAACTTTTATTTATCATTAAAATGTTGAAAAATTTGAAATATAATTCGACTGCAGAATATAAAGAAATAATTTATTAAATATTAGTATTACTTCATAAGGCTTTATATTCAGGTTAAAAAAAATATATTACTCGATAACGGCTTTTTAACCATGTAGAAGCGCAAGTTTTTTGGTTTTGTAAAATCAAATTGTGTTTAAATTAGAATGCTGACGTTGTTTTGACGTTAAAAGTAGAAACGTAAAAAAAACTTTTGTTGACAACGTCGTTCTAACGATAATCAGATTTACGTTGGTTTATTGTTAAACAACCAACGTTGTTCCAACGTTGTTTTATCCCATTAACAGTCCATGTATTGCCGTATTATTACGAAAACTTAAACTGGTTTCCAAATGTTCATGCCGTAATACTAGGCAATCTAAAAGTGGTTTACAAATGTCCATCCGTAATATTACGGTTTTATACAACTCTTTATATTTCTTTCTTGTTCATCAGCAATTATATGTCTACTTTGTTAATACATAATTACCTACTTTTTAATATATAAATACAGAACGTTTGTTTTAATGTTTACTTTTAAACGTGTTTACTTATTTTAAATATGACTTCCTTATTTTATAATAAGAAAGTTTTTTCAGTGCAAAAATAATTATCAAAGAGTAATTATTTACTCACGAAAAGATAGAAAATTGTATATTTAATGAGTCAATAGTAAAAATGTTTATATATAGATAGTAATAGTAATAGTAATATTCATTTCTGTAACAACTACAAATTTGTTTAAATATAAATATTTAAAAATAAAATAAATTGTGGAACGCGATGCAAGCATCGGGTTATAGTCAGCCAACACAATTTAAAAAAAACACAAGTTATGAAAAATGTTTATCTATTCGCGCTTTGAAAACATTCAACGATCTTGCTTTAATTATTTCATTTGGTAACAAATTTTAGTTTTTACAAACTCGATTGGTAAAGAAATTATATCTCGGTAAACATGATGGTAATATTCTCTAACCTGTATTTATTGCCCCTTACTAAAAAAGTCGGGCCTGAACTAGTCACAAATGATGCCGGTTTGGGATTTTTGTACCAATTTATTTGTTCTGTATTTTGCTTGAATCTGTATTGTTATATAAGATCTTCTCTTGCTCGTCTTTTCTCCAATGTTGTTTAACCCTTTGCTTTCAGTTTTTTTTCATATGAAACATTTTTAAGTTGTGGAACTAACTTCGTTGCTCTTCTTTGCATTTTCTCTAACTCATCAATATCCCGTTCTAAATAAGGCTGCCATACAGGTATAGCGAACTCAAAAAGCAATCTCACAAATGTCTTATTTTCCATTTCCACATCAAAGTATGTAAACGTACGTTTTATTAGACCCAAAGTTCTTTTCGCTTTTGATGTCGCTGAAGTCACTTGATCATGCCATTTAAGGTCGAATGAATTAATCATTCCTAAATTTCTTTCACTTACTGTTGTTTTTAATTTGTTTTCTTTGCCATCGTGAGTCATACAATAACTCAATCGTGGATTCTTTTTACCTAAAGCCATCATCATGCACTTTTCGATGTTCAACATTGTTAACCAGATATCTTTCCTTTTTACAAATTCATTGATTTCATTCTGCAAAGACTCATGATCTTCAACATTTTTTATAACTTTGATTAGTTTACTGTCATCTGCATATAATTTGCAATTGGAATTAATATTTGATAGTAGATCATTTACGAATATCAAGAAAAACAAAGGACCAATTAAAGAGCCTTAAGGCACACCACTTAAAATCTCAATCCATCAAGACACATTTACAGCCATTATAACTCTTTGCCTTCTTTCGTTAAAAAAAGACGATATCCAGTCATTTAATATACCCTTGATACTATATGCTTCACACTTTTTCAACATTTATTTGGAACCTTATCAAAGTCTTTGGCAAAATCCATATAAATCAAATCTATCGCTAAACTGTCACTTATAATTGCTGTTAAAATGTCTAATGTTTCTAGCAATTTTATTACACTTTATTTTTTACGAAGCCATGTTGATTTTTTGATAGCAATTTATTTTCTATCAGATAAGTCATTATCACTTCTTTTATAAATGCTTCCATAACTTTGCATGGTATAGATGTTAATGATACAGGTCTGTAGTTAGGCGGCTCTGTCGTATTACCATTTTTGAATATTGGAGTGATAATTGCTTCTTTACGTTTGCTAGGAATTTTTTTCTGTTTCAATTGATTTTCGGTAAATTAAAGCTAATGGAGTTGCTACACTATTTGAGCAGTTTTTAAGTACGTACGAGGTAATACCATTACTACTACACGCTTTGTTGACGTCCAAAGAAATCAGTTTTTGCTGAACTGCCTCATTTGTAACAACATTTTTGCAATCCCATTCAAAATGGTTTGTAATATGTGGTTCAAACTCGGGAATTTAACCATGCTCTTTAACCATTTCACCATGCTCGATTGAAGAATTTTGTTTAATGTATTAACAATCTCATGCCTGTCAGTTGTGAGTACACTTGCGTAGTTTTTCATTGATTGTATTTTACCCATGTTTTTTTGGTTCTCTTCCGCGTATTTGTAGGTCTCGCAATTTTTTTTTATTTTATAAGTTTTTCTCATAATCGATAGTGAATTCTTTTAACTTCCTTTTGACTACTTTTTCTCTATTTTTTACTCATTTAACTTATTTAGATATTTAAATTTACCAGCTCTTTTTACGCTCGTTTAACGCAATAAAGCATTAACTTCGTCTGTGATGCATGGGTCTTTTTTAACTTTTTGATCATACCTAACTTTTTTCTTTGAATATTCAATTCAATCAACACCTAATATTTTTAAAAGCACTGTAGCAATGATCCACGAAAGCACTGTAGCAATGTTCCACGTTAAA